TTGATTGATAAGGACCGCTCTAAGACTATTTCCAGTGTTCCACAGTTCCCAAATGAGATACTTTTGCATCACAAGTTATCATATGTAAGTCTGATTCACACATTGCACAGTCCGACTATGATTTGTGTCATTTTGGCTTATGTTGTAAATGCCCAACCAACTGTAGCACAGTCTACAGACCATTATTAATGATACCATCACTTAGCACAACATCTGAATTATGTTGTAGCTTTTCCCAATACATCTCTTACAGTCAGCCAGAATTTACTGTCAATTTACAATACTTTTGGCAAGCTGTAATACATTGACCTTTAAAGCATTACAGATAGTTTACTGTGTTCACACCTACAAGCATCTATGAGGGTGGAAAAACATATTAAGCAACTTTGACAGAAATAACAGAGCAGAGAAAAAGGTCACCTTTTTCAAAAAAATAATCACTTCAGCCAGCTTGTTTACGATGCAGCTCAGATTGAACTGAAAATATAACATCATCTCAATCCCTTTCTCACATTTCAGTCTATCTCCCTAAGTTGTTCATTCTTCATGTCTATTCAGTATTTATTACAATTAGTAAAACAGATATTTTTGTTCACCCTAAGAATAATAACCAGAAAGGAAACAGGAAAAATATGTTTCTAATGCATTATTTTTCTGTTGCAAACAAAATAATTGATGGCTTTGGTACTGCGTTTTCATATATTGATTTCAAGAGAATCTGTGGTGCGTTTTTGGAATATTAAGCACTTCTAATTTGCATTTGGTTTAAATGTGGAAATGAAGCATATACTTAAATATTTCCCATTGAAATCAATGAGGTTGAATCTTGGCTGGATTGTGTATGTATCTAATTCACAGTACATTATCACAATCTGATGCTGAGAATTCTGGGTTGGAAGTCCCAACAGATAAGGAAATTGATCTATATTGACATATTTCACGTGGACAGTTGGAATGAAATGTATCAGTATCTCTTCCTTTTCTGAGCCAGAATTCCATGGTTGATTTTTACTTAAGGAACAGTGGTTGACAATGGGTAGATGGGGATGTCCAAAATGAGAATGAAAAAGGGCTTTATGATTTTGCTTCATCTGAAATTTTAATATCTGTCTTCACGCTCATGGCTCAGCCCTGATGATACTGGCCAAAAAAAAGGCCAATAACAAGTTGAACATTCGTTTTAATATTTATATTTGTCGGGGTATGTTATCTTCTAAATCTAAAGGCAGAAAGCTTACAGTACTCATGACCAGACCGTAATCTGCTTGAATGCCACAGCACTCACATGATGCTAGATAGAATCCACTCTCCCTCTTATTTTTTTAAGCAGAAAATTAAAACTAGTCAACATCTCACAAAATAACCAAAAACTGCAGCATCTCACATGAGATCTCATAAGATTTTGCAATGCTGCAAATGTTCCTGAATTTCAATTAGTTGAAATCCTAGGCAACATAGTTAATGGCAATGAATCAACATCTGGACACAACGAACTGCCCCTTCCTTTGGGATTCTATCCATCCCAAGTCAAAATCAAAACTGAGAAAGGCTAGTTCAAATGGCTTTGGTCACTTTATAGCAACCTGCAGATGCATTACCAAAACAGTTAGCCAACATGCCCACCATAATCCTAGGAACTGCAGTTGCAACACAGCTCCACGATGGCAGGTTGGAGAAGACCAACTTTGGGGTTCTGCAATTTCAGAACCCAGCCTTTGATCTGCTAAGCCATTATTTGTTTTACCACAATTTGTTGAAAAGGCCACAGTTTGCTGGATTAAGACACTGTCTAAACCATAATCAAATAAACCATCAGCTGAACATGATGTGTGACGGCAGACTTTTATCACACCTGACTTTTTCTTACACCTCTCTTAAGCCTGACTCTTTATCACATATTTTCTGAGATTCCATTAAGGATGCTCTAGTCTGCAAGTTGAACAACTGAGGTTTTCAACATTCTTTGAGCAGTGCACATTTTCTGATAAAACAGGCATCTTCTATGTTGGAATGTTAAGTAGCTTTAAACAATTTCTGCCCAGATACATCTATCTGTTACAAACTCCCAACTCTGTTCCCTTCTGGATTCAGCTGCATACAAAACAATGGGACAGACATATTTTTCATGCCGATTTGAATGCAGAATACAAACATGCTTAAAAAACAACCACCATTAAGTGGTTGCTTACTCAGAGAAGCCTCAAAATACTCTTGTGTCAGACTTGGCTATACCCAAAGTTCTTACTGTTCATCTGTGATATTCATTATTTACTGAAGCTTCATCCCTGCTGCATTAGGGTAATTCAGGGCCTCCCCCAAAATCATCGTTTTTCACAATAAGGGGCTAGCATTCATTTCATAAGTAGGATTCTGTTCCTGCTATTTTCTGCTCTCTGCTTGGCCCAGGGCTGTACTATTAGCCTGTACGTTAGCCAGGCCTGTCCTATTAGCTTGTACTATTAGCTGATTTTATTATTATTGCTGTCATGTGGAACCACTTCAATGTGGCTTTAATGGAATACTGTGGAATTGTTAAAATCCTTAAAGGCCTGAGTTATGATCCGCTTTCTGATGAGCAGAACTATGTTTGCTGGCTTGCCTCTTTAAAACGATACATCCCCAGTCTCCTGGTGATGCTGCTGCAGGTGAGGTTAATACTGCTCTGTGACCTTGCTTTCTATATGGCTCCTATTTCTAGATTATTGCCAAACATCTCTTCTGGGTACTCAGGCTTCTCTTTCTATTCTGTGTTGTCATTCACTGTTCTTCATTGGTTCATTCATTCATGAGATTTATAGGCCACCCAAATCTGTTACAAATCTGGGCAGCCTGCAAAATACAACAGTAAAAGCACAGTAAAAATAAACAATTATATCAAAAAAGAAGGTGCAGAAAAGGTCAACAATCTTCTAAAAGGCCAACATATTACATAAGGGGCCCTTTTTCCATTCTGACCCAGGGCCTGGGGACAGAAAAAGGTTTTAAGGGCTTGTTTAAATAATGCCAGGGTGGAAGCCATACAAATTCCCCAGGGGGGAATGCACGGATTTCGCTCGTCTGCTGAAGGTTGTGGTCTTTCATTCTTTGTACTTTTACTTGCATCGGTTTTGTCTCTTCCTGTTTTGATTTATATTAGAGATTTTCAGAAGTTTTGTTTCTTGTTGCCTCTTGTAAGTTGGCAGCCCATGTATTAAGATCTCCACATGTATTTGGGATGAAGGCTAACACACCAAGCACATCCTGGTTCTCCTTAAGGTCATTCTGGAGATCTCATTTCTTCTAGGCTCATTCTAGTCTTCCCATCTCTGTTAACCTTTTACTTTCATGTGGGCTTTCTTCAAAGTATAGAAACTAGACTATATTTCATCCAGTGAAAGTTAATTTTTATATTTTATTAATATTATCTCTTCATTCTCCATTAGCCCTTTCTACTAACTTGTACCTTTAGGATATATCTAGGTTTTTAAATGTTCTCTTTCTTGTAAAATTCTTGTTACCTAGCTTGAAAGATTGAAAGAACCTTCCAATCAGAAAGAGGAATTACTTTTCAGGACTAATCTTAACCATTATTATGTTCATTATGGAGGAACAATCTGCAAGTCTATCAATTTAAAATAAATATTTGCAGCAGTTCAGGTTTTCCCCAACAGTAGGTGGCAGCACCTGGTTTACTTGGTCTGAGTTCACAAGCTAAGCAGGCTCAGGTTGAGTTTGGTTGTGGATGGGAGACTTCTAGGACATCCCAGGGCGGTAGGCTAGGCTGGGGTGGAGGGAAAAATATTCTAGGCGAAGGCAATGACAAACAATTTCTGTCCTGTTCCCAAAGAAAGTACATAAATGTCACAAGAAGTTGAGTACCATTCAAAGGAGATTATACCTTGGCTAGGTTTCTCAGGATTTATTATTTCTAGCACCCTTGCACTGCTACATTTGTTGATATGCCACTGTGAGCTTTCTGCAATTTCAGTGCTTTGCTTTGTTGATTATCATGCCATGCAAATACAGTTTGGCTTATATATTTTATTTGGATTTAATTTTTCATTCTCTAATGCCCTGTTATTGCAACAAATACTGAAAGCAAGGCCAGAAATTAAAGCTCTTTCCCACAGGCTGAATAACAATGAAGAATGTTTGTGTTTATAAAGAGAATTTGCTTGTGGAAGTAGGGATTCAAGGGCTCTGCCCTCAATTTAATACAAATTGTCCAAATGGCGAGGTTGCAATTTAATGCAGCAACTATAGCAATTGGATTAATAGGCTGCCATTCATTTGGGCAAACATCCTACTTATGGCTGGTGCGAAAACAAACCATATCCAGTATAAAGTGTTTTCAAATTGCCAATGGAAATCTGAAGATATTAGCATAATTATCACACACATATGAATTGGCTGACTGCTATTTTATTTCCATCAGTAACAAAATGTTATTTTAGAAATCCATGTTGCCATCCCTCAGATGTGATTTATACAAAGTCAGTATGGCTGGGTCACCTTTTATTCTAAGCCATGGTTTTCTTGAATAAGTCATACTTGGTTGGATCAACATAACATGTTAAACCAAAGCTAAACAAGCCACATTTGTAACTCATGTACTCCTCCCTCTAATCCAGCTTTCCAAAATCTTAGCAGGGACACTTTCCCATCACCCATTATCTGATCTTCTGGTTACCTACAATCTTCTACAAATACCAGAGGCCGATCCAGGGAACTTATTCATATAAGCTTATGAAAAAGAGGCAGCAGAACCTCTTTTAAAAAGTCTCTTAGCTACCCATGAACACATTTTTGGGAAATGAAGATAGCAGAGGACAGCAGGGGATATATGTGGCTGGATACAGGCAGTAGATCCTCCATGACACATTGGGCAGGGAAAATCTCCTCAGCTATTACTGCTTGGAATACTTACCAACATATAGCTGATAACTTCTTCCTCATTCTGCTTAGTAAGGTGGGGAGGGAGAAAAGAAAGGAACATCTGATCAAGTCCTTTAACATATGATGGACTTTTTTTTTCTTTGCTAAGCTTTCAAAGCAGTTAAATCTTTAAGGATGCTGAAAAAATATGGTACCTGAGATATAAGTAACCATATTCTAATCCCTCTTTCTCTCCCACCCCACAACACAGAATGACAAACTATATTTTCATTCTGGGAAACTGATTACTTTTACATAATATATTCCATACATTTGCTTATCTTACCATGCAGTTTGTTTAATATCTGACAAGACTAAAATAATCATTTTACATGACATTTAAAACTAAGAAGACAGGAGGAGTTGAAATGTCTCAATGTGTGGATAAGATATTGGTGCTGGGAGGAGGTTTTCTATTTATTAGGCACTGGAGTACATTTTGGGAAAAGCTAGACCTGTACAGGAAGAATGGGTTCCACTTGAATCAGAAGGGGAGCAAACTAAATGAAAAAGAAGGCACATTGGCTGTTAAAAGAGGGCAAGGGAAAAGCTAACAAGAACTGAGGAGCATCTGGTTTGGAACAATCATTGTTTAGATAAGAATTATTTCTATTCTAAAGGAGAAGTGATAACAGTTGGAGAGGATAAGATAGTCAGATGTGATGTCTACTCAACAAGACCGAATGAACAAAGGAATATGTCACAAACCAAAGGAATCAAAAGAATACAGTGAAAGATGGTGTGTACCAGTGTTTGTATACAAATGTAAGGAGCCTGCGGGCCAAAATAGGTGAAATGGAATGCCTGGGTGTAACTGAAAATGGTGTACTAGGGAAAATCTGTGGGGCATTGTTATTACTGGTTACAAACTCTATAGGAAAATCCAGGAAGGGTGTGATGGAGGATGCCTAACCATTGAATCAAGTTATCTTGATATCCAAAAAGGGGAGATCATTTGACTGAATCACTCTGGGCAGAAATATCAGGACATAAAGGTAGGTTAATACTGGTAATGTACTATTGTCCCCCTAACTAAGATGCTCGAAAAGTTCAGGAAATGTAGATGGAAATCAAAGAGGCATCCAAAAAGGAAGTCTTGTAGTTATGGGAGATTTCACTTACCACACATTGACTGTGAATGTGTTTTCAAACCACGGCAGAGAGCTAACATTCTTACATACTATAAATGACTGTGCACTGGAGCAGATGGTCATAGAACTGACAGGGAAGGGAGCAATACCAGACGTACTCTGTCTCCCATTGTATCTGCCTGGCCACTTCCATCTTGTAGGGTTGGTGCACTCTGGGTTCCTTCAACCAAACAATGTCATCTATTAAGACCCTGGAAACCTGCTTCTCTATAGCAGTGCCTGCCCTCTCAAATGAGGTTTCCCCTGAGATCTGGATGACCCCCACTCTGCTGTTGTTCAGAAGAGCAGTGAAGTCCTGGTTCTTTACCCAGGTCTTCAGTGAGAGAGAATGAGACCTCTCACTTCATCACACTTGCCATCTTTTATCTTTTATTGTTTCTATTGTAATTTCTTTGAATGTTGTGAGCCGCCCAGTGTTGTTGGGAATTGAGTGGGATGCAGTTTTATATACGATGATGATGATGGTTGGTCACACAGTCAGCCAGATGTTTAGACTGGATTTGGCATTTTTATCCACCAGTCAAGTCCTTCCTAAGGACCTGGAACAGGCAGATGTTGTTTGATGGTGCTAAAGGTATCGTTGCAGGATATTAGCTGTTCCAAGTAAAGCTGCCTTTTGAAATTGACTGATTGTGATTTTGTCAATGCCGATGGTCTTCAAGTGGTGCTTCAGATGTTTGGGGATTGCACCTAGGGTGCCTATAACTATTGGTACTATCTTTGCTTTCTTTTACCATAGCCATTCTACTTCTATTTGCAAGTCTTTGTATCTTGTGATTTTCTCTAGTTCTGTCTCTTCTATTCTGCTGTCTCCAGGTATTGCAATGTCCACTGTCCAAAGTTTTTGTCTTTCTTATCAACAATTGTTAAGTCTGGGGTGTTGTGGGTCAGGTGCTTGTCTGTTTGAATTCTAAAGTCCCAGAGCACTTTAGTTTCTTCATTTTCTACTACTTTGTCAGATGATGATGATGATGATGATGATGATGATGATGATGATGATGATTTCATGCTCAGGACTTGGTGAGAGAAATATATGTAGTCAAACTGACTGGGAATAATGACGATATTGCAATAAAATCCAAAGAAGCGATAACCTACATAACAAGTCCCACACAGTCATATTTGAATTTAAAAAAGGGAAATTCTCAAAATTGAGAATACTGGTGAAAAGGAAACTCAAAAAGGGCAAACTCTCTCCAGAAAACTTGGCTGTTGTTTAAAACCACAGCAATAGAGGCTCAGGCACAAGGTATTCCTAACAATAGGAAAAAAGCCCCAAAATCCATGAACAGGCCTACATGGTTGAATACCATTGTAAAAGAAGTTATTAGGGCCAAGAAAGTATCATTTAGAAAGACCTGTCCGAATCAAGAAAACAAAAGGAGCATAAACTCTGGCAAACAAAATGGAAAGAGACAGTGAGGGAGGCAAAAAGAAAATTTGAGGAGCATATTGTCAAAACTGTGGCAACAGATAACAAAAGATTCTACAAATACAATAGAAGCAGGATGCCAGCCAGGGAAACCGTTGGTCCCTTGGATGAAGAAAGAGTTAAAGGTGTGTTAAGAGGAGAAAAGGAACAAATTCTTTGCCTCCATCTTCACAAAAGAAAAATTCAGGCAGAACCCTGAGCTCCTCTTCTCGGGAAGGGAATCAGATGAATTGAGTCATATAGTAGTGACGAGAAGAAGTGTTAGACCTTATTGACAAACTGAACATCAACAAAGCACCAGGCCCTGATGGGTTATCAAGGAACTTAAAGCTGAGATAATGAGACTCCTAACTAAAATATGCAACCTGTCTTTAGGCTCAGCCTCTGTGGCTGAGGACTGGAAGGTAGCCAATGTAACTCCAATTTTTAAGAAGGGCTCACGGGGAGATCCAGGAAATTATAGTCCTGTCAGCTTAATATCAATTCTGGGGAAGACAGTGGAAACAGCTATTAAAGAAAATTACCAAACATTGGAAGACACAGGCCTTGCTCTGCCTGGATACTAAACATGGCTTCACTATGGGAAGGTCCTGTCTAACTAATCTATTAAAAAATTTTGAGGGTGTTAATAAGCACTTGGATAAGAGTGAGCGAGTACATGTAATCTACTTAAAATTTCAAAAAGCCTTTGGTAAAGTCCCTCATCAAGACTTCTCAGTAAGCTTAACCGCCACAAAATGAAAGGGCAGGTCTTCCTGTGGATAAGCAACTAGCTAAAGGATAGAAAACAAAGAGTAAGCGTCAATGGACATTTCTCATAATGGAGAAATAACTAGTGGGACCCCCCAGAGTTCCGTCCTAGGACCAGTGCTTTTAATGTATTTATGAATGATCTGGAGTTAGTCATGACTAGTGGAATAGCCAAGTTTGCTGATGACACTAAATTGTTCAGAGTAGTAAAAACAATAAAGGACTGCAAAGACTCCAAAGGGATTACTGCAAGTTAGGGGAGTGGGCAAAATGGCAATGTCATCTATCTATCTATCTATCTATCTATCTATCTATCTATCTATCTATCTATCAAATTTATATAGCCTCCCATCTCACGAATGTGACTCTGGGCAGCCTACAATAAAAAACAAAACAATAAAAACACATCTTAAAATAACCATAGAAAACAAGAAACATGCATATGACAAGACCATGAGAGAGTGTTTAAAAACCTCATACATAATAAAGCCAGCTTGCAGGCTCCCTGTTCCTAAGGGATCCCCAGGCCTGCTGGAAAAACCATGTCTTGAGAGATCTCCAGAAGGCCAATAAGATCAGGGCTAACCTCACCTCAGCGGGGATGATGTTCCAAAAGGCAGGTGCTACAGAAAAAAAAAGCTCAGCTCCTGGGTCCCATCAGATGGAACTCCTTGGCAGACAGGACCCATAATATGCCTTCCTGCATGACCTGTTGGGACAGGTAGATGTATTCGGGAAGAGGCGCTCCCTCAAATACCCTCATTCCATGTGAGCAAATGAAAAGTGATGCACACTGGTGCCATAAAATCCCAACTTCTCATTATAAACTATTGGGATCAGAGCTAGCAGTGACTGATGATGAAATAGATCTTGGAATAACAGTAAACAGTTCAGGGAAGGTGTCAATACAGTGTGTATCCACTGTAAAAAAAAAAAAAAAAGGCCAATAGCATGTTAGGCATAATAAGAAATGGTACTGAAAACAGAGGTGCCAATATCATAATGCCCTTATATAAATCAATGGTCAGACCACATCTTGAATATTGGGTGCAGTTCTGGTGGCCGCAAATCAAAAAGGATATAGTGGAACTAGAGAAGGTCCAGAGCACCTCTGAAGAGCAACTAAAATGATCAAGGGGCTGGAATAGTGTCCCTATGAGGAAAGGTTATGACATTTGGGGCTCTTTCGTCTAGAAAGGAGGTAAATGAGAGGGGACATGATTGAGGTGTACAAAATTATGCATGGTGTGGATAAACTGGACAAGGAGAAACTTTCCCCTTCCCAAATACTAGAATCAGAGGTCACCCAATGAAATTGAATCCTGGAAGAATCAGGAAGACAAAAGATATAGATATATATATAAACAGAACACATCATTAAATTTTGGAATTTGCTACCTCAAGATGTGGTGCTGGCTACCAGCTTAGCTGGCTTCAAAAAAGAGTTGGACCAATTCATGGAAGTCATGGGGAACAATGGCAATTAGCCTTGATGGCAGCATGACTGCCTCTGAAGGCCATCTGCTGGGAGACTAGTGACTTGGTTGGGCACTGTGAGAACAGACTATTGTACTGGACTAGATGGACCAATCCAGCATGACACTGCTTATGTTCTTATGTTATGTTCAGAGGAAATGGGATCTGAGAGCAACCATCTTCTTCCCTAGAATCCTACAAAAGGGTTTTCCTTCCCCCTGCCTTTCCTCTTTATTCAGCTCCAGTGAATGCTTAAAAAATCACTCAGCACAGCATAAAGCTCAAGGACA